AAAAGTGGTTAAAGGAGAAAAACATACGGTTTCATGATTTTTTAATATTAAATAATTATGGGTGACGTTTTTTACTAGAAATATTGCTTCAAATTAAAAATGACAAGATATTTTTTGTTGTATTTTGGATTTTGTTGCTTACGATTTAAAGTTCGGAAAATTTTAGCCATTTTTTAAGCACATTTTAATTTTGGAAGTTTTTTTGTTGCAATTCGGTTAATAACATTTGTAAAAACTTGAAATTTGGGTTCTTAACTTATATTATCCTTATGTAGACATGATAAAATTTTCAAAACACGAGCCACTTTTGAGCTTTTTCTTTTACCTTATAGTTTTTTTCATTTTATGATATTTCCTAATTATAAATTATAATTATGATTGTATAAATTACCTGTTTACATAAATTGTTCTTAGGCTGTTCTTATAACGTTTTGTTATCTAACGAAAAAAATTAAATAAAAAAGATTCCCTCGTCCGCTCAGAATCGTTTTTATCGAATGTCAATTATAGCATTCAAATTAAGTACCGTTAAATTACACTATCCTGTCCAAGGGGCGATGGACAAACATTCACCACCGAAATGTTGACCTACTTTTTTAGTTATAATTTATTAACATTCTTGATACATATATGGACATATGGTTGTTAATTTATTATTTAATATTTACGTTTTTTTTATTTATAATAAAATTACTTTATGATTTTTAAGTGTTTACCTACCACAATAATTGGTGATAATATCAATAAAAATTTAAAATAACTTACAAGTTTGCCGTTACTCCAGAAAGATCCAAAATCATTAATGAAAAAAAAAATCTTAACAAGGACATTTTTTGTTTATTATTTTAGACTCTTCAACGTTGCCACCTCCTCAACAAACTCATGGTGTTATGACATCAAGCTAACATCACTGTATCATAGTGCTTAACTTCAAGTCACATTGAACCTCTAAGACATATTCTGCTACAAATAATAAAGTAACTGGTTTATTACTAAATATTATTATTTAAGATATTATTATCTATAAATATACCATCATTTATAGATTATTTTTATAACCAAAATCTTATTTTTACTTGATTTTGTACAATAATGTTATTATTTTAATAAGTTTCATAAAGAATTAATGAAAATACTAAACAGTTTTTTTTACCAATAGACTGAGGTTAAGGACATTCATTTTTAAATGCTGATTAATAGTACTTGATTGACATCTGTTATAGCACTGACATTTAATAAATCTTACCTCAACTGTTTTATTATTATTATTATAATTATTATAGTTGTGTAACATAACATGTATATTAATTAATTTTAATAATAATATTGATCTCTAAACTCAATAGAAAAATCCACCACCATAAAAGTCTTTCAGAACTTATTGTAATTGCTCTTAAT